AAATAAATCAGAGTCAGAGGACGACAGAAATCCATCAAAGAAAGACAAGCAGATACAAGGAAATTAGCAGAAAACAAAGCATGTAAACTGAGGAAAATAACAAGAAGAGAATATGGACTATGCTTGCTTTTGGCCATCTCAATAATAGCTAGTATTAGGGCTGAACATCCATATTCCATCTGGCTCATCAGCAAAACATAAATAATAATTTAAAGAAAATGAGAGCGGTAAAAGCATCTGCAGAGAAACCAAAAACAAGATTTTGAATGATTTTGGAATTATACTTCCTCTTTGCTAATCAATAAAAAGGCATCAAAATATTTGTTCTATTAAAATTATACAATCGTATAATTTGCTTACAATGGAAATGATCTACATTCTGAGATACATGGCTTATGTCAATTAATAAGCTATCCTCCCACAGGTGACCAATAATTAGCCTGCTAGCCCTAAAGCTTCATACCAGTGTAACATAAATGATTTATCATTGTTCTAAGTGCAAGAAATCACTAGGCTATTAAAAGAATTAATAATCTCACAGTGTTATAAACCCAAGAGTCTTCTTCTACCTTCTCATTAAATAAAAATACAATGGCTGACTGCAGAGTGCTTCATAGGAGCTATGAGAAAAAAACTTGAAGTCTATGATCTTGTTTTCTCTGACAAAAGAAAGTGCAAATAAAGGAGAATGATAAAAGTTTCTCGAGAACCATATGTATTCTTTGTTATGTCATTTATCTCTTACCTTAAGTGCTGTCTCAGGTGGATTATATTCCTGGGTTACAATCTAACTTGTGTGAGTGTCTTACAGGTAATATCTGATGAGTCCTTCTTATACTTTTCAAGATGTATCTATAAGAAATGGAATGCTGAGAGCATTTTATATCCCTATCATTGTCACTGATAGTATCACATGGATACTTAATAATCATTAAAAAGCTTAGAGCTATGTTTGCTTGAAGAGCCCAGATGAGACTCTGTCTATGAAACTATTGACAACTTTTACAAGGTTATTTCTTATTTTCTTTTTATTTTATTTCGTTTGACTGCTTAATATAAGAGTTGGAAACTTTTAGAAGAGTCCTGCGGTGATAAGATTAATGGTTTTTCAGGTTTTTGTTCCCATCTTTTAGAAAAATCCATCCAAGTAAGAATTTGATTGATTTGAGGTACAACAGTTCATCATCTCCTCAAAGATACTGTGATGCTCAGGGCGGCCAGCTAGGCAGAGGGCCAGAGAGGCATCCAGGCAGCAAAAGGACACACACTACTGCTCCCGAGTGACTTTTATGTGATAGTTCCCATTTGTTCTGCTCAATCGTTTTCATCAGAAATATCAGAATGAAGACTTTGTTTTATTTTGGTTATATTGGTATGGAATACTTCATATTGGTATGAAATGCTCATTGTAGAAAAATTGAAACAGAGAGATGAGCAAATACAATATAATATAAATAAGCCATAAACTCGCTACCCAGATTAATGACCACACTAACTTTTTGGTAAATTCTTTTTCTGCCAGAATGTTTTCTTTGCATACAAATTTTTAAACAAATATGTTTTTTGTATTACTTGGTAAACTACTTTTTAAACTCAATAAGATATATTCCGTGACAAATATATTCCATGTGAAAAAATATTATTTCTATATTTTAATGGCTAATAGCTATATATCATATAACATATATAGATACCTAGACAAACAATCAGACATTAAGTTGACATTATAATTTAAAAAATAAAAAATCACAGCATTAACAATGTAGGGCTTTCAGAGAGTGAGTTACTTCAGATAAATAAATTAGCAATCAACTAATACTGGAAATTATATTAAGCAGAAAGTTACAGAGATCTCACCATAAGTTTGTCTTGATCTCAGTACAAGAGACAGATATTTATAATGGATAACAAAGAGATCCTGATCTAAAGGAACCACATTTGTGGTTTTCTCCTTAAGATATTATACTCTATCCCCTTTTATTTTACTTTTAATTTTTTTTAAGAGATGAGGCCTTGCTATCTTGCTCAGGCTGGTCTCAAAGTCCTGAGCTGAAATGATCTGCCCACCTCAGCCTCCCAATGCCGAGGAGCCACCGTGCCTGGCAGCCATCTCATTTTAAATAATAATTTAACCATTTCTCAATGAACTATAACCATTGACTATTATCCCATGTACCAATAGTCAGTCTGCTTTTTTATTTTAGGTTCACCACTCTGTCACTGCTCAGTAACTCCCCAATAACTTTCTGGTTGTTTTTCCTAACTCCAATTTATCATGGACTGAGAAGCTGAATATCTAAGCTTATTAATGAATGCGCATTAAATAAGGCCCAATAAATCTATGAGGGAAATATTTGAGTCAGTAAATATCATCCATTGTTTTTATATATCATTTTTACTTACATTAACTTACATGATATTCATAAAAACTGTAGGTAATTACTAGGTACTTTATGCTTCTACAGAAAAGAAAACCAAGACTTGGAGAAATGAAATAACTTATTCAATGTTACCTGGCTATAAAATTGTAGCAAGGGCTCAAACCCAATTCTTATTCCAAATTTGACTCTAAAAACTTTGTTAAAAGCAACTCAGAATTTTTTTCTTGCTTCTGGATCAAAAAAATTATAATCCAGAGTAAAGTTTTCTAAAACATGTTTTATCAAACACAAAGTATATGAGGTATAAGTATTATGCAATAAAAGAGGAAAACACTGGACCAAACAAACATGGCGAGACTCCTCAGTGATTGTAATATGCTAATGTGCTTCATAAATCTCCAAAAGCAGTATTTTCATAATTGCTTGGACCTCCAAGATGATCCTCAGTAACAGCACACCTCTTCAGACTTCTAAGAAGTATATTACAGAAGATACTGTGCTATTGCGGGCTGGGGGAAAAGGGAAGCTTGCCAGATGAAAGAAGTGAGGTTTGAGCATCTGTCTTTGCATTCACCTCTCATTTACAATTTGTTAATAGAACAGAGATTAAAATGTAGATTCTGGAAAGCTTGATATTTAAGTGAATGATTATCTTTTGATAATATAGAAAATTACTTCTAATGAAAAGAATAGATAAATCTTTCAGAAGTTGCTACAGACTACTCCTGTGAGCTATTGTTAACATTTAATCAGATGAAAGTGTAAATTCACAGAACTCTTGGATACAAAATAGAAATTCTTAGGCTGGATTTGGAATGAAATCATGTACTGTGACTGACTGTAGCACTGTTATACCAGAACTTTCCACTGAGATATGATACACTGTCCTGATATCTCAGTGAACTCTTGTAACACAAAATTTCCATCTCATATCTTATTAATGACGGAGACTAAAGTATTCTCAAATGTAATTCAATGCTTTTCATCTTTACAAGTTGTATACAATAAAAATATTTGAGAAATTCTTTAAAATTCAACAAATGATTTTTAATATAGCTAAATCTGTTTGCAGTTATTTTAATATATTTAAATGAAATACCACCACTTTGTAAAATAACAAAGAATGTCATTTTATAGCCTACAAATTAAGAAATTCCCCGTCTTTAAAATGGTTCCCAACTTGTCTTCTTGATATTCTGCATCATAGAAATCTTACTTTTGGCAACATGTTGCCATTATGGTCTGTAAGTGAGAATTTTGCTAGGCGTTTTATGTTTATTATATTATTTAATACTTAAAACAGCCCAACAAAGTGAGTACACTTAAAATAATCTCCAATATTCTAGATAATAAAACTGAGATTCCAGAGGAGGCAGAGCTAGGATTGAACGCCAGGCTCCTGACTACAAAGCTCCTTTACTGAACCCACTGTTCTCTGTGATACTTAGTTAATTGTTTCATACATGTTCCTATTTAAATCATTTTAGTAGTCATGGGAGGCTTAAAAGGAAAGATACATTCGCAATAAGATACCCCTATTTCATTAGCAAGCTTCTGGATACTATAAAATATCACTACATTCATTTGACTGATAACTAAGCTCCACTCTTCAATTGGAAGTCAAAAGACCATAATCTCATGATTTCTTCTCTCTTTTTGGAATTTCTCCTGTCTCATCAAGGTCTTTACAAATGAAACTTAAATTTGATTAACTGTAGCATAAGCTAAACACCAAATAAAAATCAATGAGGCATATATGCATGGCAAAGGAAGGCAGCTCTAAAACTCAACACAGCTTCACCAGAAAGCTGGTGGATGCTCAATCTGCAATTTAGGCTTTTGTATAAAGTAATTTTAATTCCAAAGCTGATAAAAGGGAGAAGGAATAATATGATTAATTTGTCCTGGAGTACAGGAGAAGTTGGAAGTGGTATGATTAAAGGAGTCTAGAAGGGCATCCTATTAATCAACCAAAAATTATTTATTAAATATTTACCATCACCACCATTATGCCACAATGTTTAGAATCCCAGCCCTTGAGTTATCAACTGTGGTTAAAACACCAAGAATAAGTATATCTTAATGTGAATATATATGTTACCTGGAGAGAAAATGGCATTAACTCTTTGGCAATCACTATTACAGTAGTATTAATATAATACAGAACCCAAAGAGAATAGAATAAAATACAGGTTAACTATGACTGATTCTGGAAAGGTCACATCAGTGAAGTGGAGCCCTATGAAACCAAAGATATACCAGAACTGTGGGGCTTAGTTCTAGAAGGTTGCATCCATGTCCTAGGTATGTACTAGATACTTAAAAAATGAAATAAAAGATAGTGTTGAGACAGAATATTGCGTCCAAGACCCCAGGCTTATATGCAACTCATGAGAGCTTTTTTTTTTTTTTTTTTGTCCTCCAATCGTCTATGTTAGCAGGTGACTTATTTATAGTGTGAAATGCATAATGCATTCTGGCATCTGAAGCTGAGGCCCCAGAAGGAGAAAAATGTCCCTCCCCATTCAATGGAGGAAAAGGCCACAGAGGTATATTACATAAAACTAGTATTATACATAAGCAGAACTCCTGTTCTAAGAGAATTACAAAGGGACGTACATGGATTTTCTGGTATCCTCTCATCTACAAGAGCATTCATCTTCTAACACAGCATGTTCTCTATCCAGTGGCTCAACTGGCTCTCCAAAGGGAAAAAGAAAGTTTCATATAACCATTACTGCTTTAAGAGCATATAGTGACAAATTCAGAAAAATAATGATAAAATATGCAATAATCTTCACTGTAAATTCCATACCACTAATTTCAGTGTGACTTTCTGTTTCCTACAGTATAGTGATAGTGGATTTCACTATCAGTTTCTTTTTCATTCTATCTTTAACCATAGTGCCACCAAATCAGACTGTGTATAAATGTTTAATTAACATCTGATTAGAAAAAATATCACTGAGGTCATTGACAAATTAGTATAGTTCTGATATAAATGTTTTTGCTATTTTCTTTTACATTAAAGAGTGAGACTAAAATGAAACAACAAAGACATAAGTCAGATTTCACTGAACTTTTGATGATGTCTGCAACTTCTTTGCTAAATTATGTAATAGTTTTTAAATATTAGAAGATGGGGATGGATCCAAGACAGCCAATTAGGAGCAGCTCAGGATTGCAGCTCCCAGTGAAAGCGCAGAGGGTGAGTGGACGCCACATTTCCAGATGGATTTTTATTGTCCACAGACCAGGAGATTCCCAGGCAGAGGAGCCCCATGGGTCACCAGTGTGGCTGTTTTCACCTGTGCAGCTGTTTTGGCTGGTGCCCCAGCACGGCAGTTCTCTGTACAAAATACACAGGTCTGGGCACCGTTTTAGCTGGCAATTGGAGCTCCTGGGAGACAGAGTCACCCATTCAACTGATTAAAAGGGGGACTGAAACAGGGAGCCAGGCCAGGAGATTCCTGGGCAAAAAAGTGCCACGAATCTCAGAGCAGCTGTTTCAGCCAGCACAGGCACAGTGGGTTGCCACACGGGAAATCACACAGATCCCAACACCTTTTCAACAGGTGACTGGAACAGCTGGGAGACAGAGTCAACTGTTCAACTAAAAAAAAGGGGGGGGGGGCTCTGAGGCAGGGAGACAGGTGATCAGGCTCGGCTGGTCCCATCCCCACAAAAAACAGCAATCGGAAATGCTCTGGATTGAGAGTTTCACATCAAGCACAGCTGAACCTGGGATGGTCCAGCTCTGTGGGGGAGGGTCACCCGCCATTACCAAGGCAGTCCACCACTATGGAGGTAGTTTGCCATTGCTGAGGCAGCCCACCATAGCCGAGGCAGCCTGCCATTACTGAGAGTGTCTACCATTATAGAGGTGGGCCGTCATTGCTGAGGCAGCTCTAACTATACTTGTATAAACAGGACTGCAGGGAAGTTCACATGGCAGCTGGGCGGAGCCCACAGCAGCTCAGCAAAGCCACTGCAGGCAGACAATGACTAGGCTGCCTCCTCACTGGGCAGGGCAGCCATGAAAAAAGGCAGCAGCACAACAGAAACTCATAAATAAAGCCCTAACTCCCTGGGACAGAGCACCTGGGGAAAAAAGGGGGGGTTTATGAGTTCTGCTGCAGCAGACCTAAACGGACCTGCCCAGCAGCTCTGAATAAACAACAGAGCTCACAACTCAGCACTTGAGCTCCTATAAAGGATAGACTATCTCCTCAAGCAGCTCCCTGACCCCCTTATATCCAAAGAGTCACCTCATAAATGAGAGCTCAGACTGACATCTGGCAGGTATCCTTTGGGGACAAAGACAGCAGAAGAAGAAACTGGCATCAACCCTTACCGTTCTGCAGCTGCTGCAGGGGATCCCCAGGCAAGCAGGCCCTGGAGTGGACCTGGAGAGGGGCCAGACTGTTAGAAGGAAAACTAAGAAACAGAAAGAAATAACTTCATCATCAACAAACTGGACGTCCACTCAGAGACCCAATCTGAAAGTCAACAACTACAAAGATGACAAGTGGATAAATACACAAAGATGGGAAGAAGCCAGTGTAATAAGTATGAAAACATCCGAAACCAGGATGCCTTTCCTCCTGCAAGGGATCACAACTCCTTACCAGTAAGGGAATAAGGCTGGATGGAGAATGAGTGTGATGAAATGACAGTATCAGGCTTCAGAAGGTGGGTAATAACAAACTTCTCTGAGCTAAAAGAATGTATTCTAACCCAATGCAAAGAAACTAAGAACCTTGAAAAAAATTTTGACGAAATGCTAATGAGAATAAACAACTTAGAGAGGAATATAAGTGAATTGATGGAGCTAAAAAACACAATACGAGAACTTCGCAAAGTATACACAAATTTCAACAGCCGAATTGACCAACCAGAAGAAAGGATATCAGAGGTTGAAGATCAACTCAATGAAATAAAACGAGAATGCAAGATTAGAGAAAAAAGGGTAAAAAGGAATGAACAAAGTCTCCAAGAAATATGGGACTATGTGTAAAGACCTAGTCTACGTTTGATAGGTGTACCAGAATGTGACGGAGAGAATGAATCCAAGTTGGAAAATACTATTCAGGATATTATCCAGGAAAACTTCTCCAACCTAGCAAGGCAGGCCAATATTCAAGTCCAGGAAAGGGAGAGCACCATAGAGGTATTCCTCAAGAAGAGCAACCCCAAGGCACATAATCGTCAGATTCACCAGGGTTTAAATGAAGGATAAAATGCTGGCTAGAAAGGTTAGGTTACCCACAAAGGGAAGCCCATCAGATTCACAGCAGATCTCTCAGCAGAAACCCTACAAGCCAGAAGAGAGTGGGGGCCAATACTGAACATCCTTAAAGAAAAGAACTTTCAACTCCAAATTTCATATCCAGCCAAACTAAGTTTCATAAGTGAAGGAGAAATAAGATCCTTTATGAACAAGCAAGTACTCAGAGATTTCATCACCACCAAGCCTGCCTTACAAGAGCTCCTGAAAGAGGCACTGAACATAGAAAGGAACAACCAGTACAAGCCACTTTAAAAACATACCAAATGGTAAAGAGAATCAACTAACGGGCAAAACATCCAGCTAGCATCAAAATGGCAGGATCAAATTCAAATATAACAATATTAACCCTAAATGTAACTGGGCTAAATGTCGCAATCAAAAGACACAGACTGGCAAATTGGATAAAAAGCCAAAACCCGTTGGTGTGCTGTATCCAGGAAATCCATCTCACATGTAAGGATACACAAAGGCTCAAAATAAAGGGATGGAGGAAGATTTACCAAGCAAATGGAGAGCAAAAAAAAAGCAGGAGTTGCAATACTCATCTCTGATAAATTAGACTTTAAAGCAACAAAGATCAAAAGAGACAAAGAAGGACATTACATAATGGTAAAAAGGATCAATGCAACAAGAAAAGCTAACCATCCTAAATATATATGCACTCAATACAGGAGCACCCAGATATATAAGGCAAGTTCTTAATGACTTACAAAGAGACTTAGACTCCCACACAGTAATAGTAGGAGACTTTAATACCCCATTGTCAATATTAGACAGATCAACCAGACAGAAAATTAACAAGGATATCCAGGACTTGAATTCAGACCTGGACCAAGCAAACCTAATAGACATTTACAGAATTCTCCACCCCAAATCCACAGAATATACATTCTTCTCAGCACCACATCACACCTACTCTAAAACTGACCACATAATTGGAAGTAAATCACTCTTTAGCAAATGCTAAAGAATGGAAATCATAACAAACAGTCTCTCAGACCACAGTGCAATCAAGTTAGAACTAAGAATTGAGAAACTAACTCAGAACCACACAGCCTCATGGAAACTGAACAACTGGCTCTTGAATGTTGAGTGGATAAACAATGAAATGAAGGCAGAAATAAAGATGTTCTTCAAAATCAATGAGAACAAAGATGCAACATACCAGAATCTCTGGGACATATTTAAAGCAGTGTGTAGAGGAAAATATGTAGCAATAAATGCCCACATGAGAAGCAAGGAAAAATCTAAAATTGACACCGTATCGTCAAAATTGAAAGAGCTAGAGGAGCAAGACCAAAAAAACTCAAAACCTAGCAGAAGACAAGAAATAGCTGAGATCAGAGCAGAACTGAAGGAGATAGAGACACAAAAAACCCTTCAAAAAATCAGTAAATCCAGGAGATGGTTTTTTGAAAACATCAACAAAATAGACAGACCACTAGCCAGATTAATAAAAAAGAAAAGAGAGAATAACCAAATTGATGTAATAAAAAAAGATAAAGGGGATATCACCACAGATTCCACAGGAATTCAAACCATCACCAGAGATTATTACAAACAACTCTATGCACATAAACTAGTAAACCTGGAATAAATGGATAAATTCCTGGACACTTGCATCCTTCCAAGCCTAAACCAGGAAGAGGTCGAAACCCTGAATAGACCAATAACAAGTTCTGAAGTTGAGGCAGAAATTAAGAGCCTATCACCCAAAAAGAACACAGGTCCAGACAGGTTCACAGCCAAATTCTACCAGACATACAAAGAGGGGCTGGTACCATTCCTTCTGAAACAATTCCAAACAATACAAAAAGAGGGAATCCTTCCCAAATCATTTTATGAGACCAACATCATCCTGATACCAAAACATGGCAGAGACTCAGCAAGAAAAGAAAACTTCAGGCCAATATCCATGATGAACATAGATGCAAGAATCTTCAATAAAATACTGGCAAACCGATTGCAACAGCATATCAAAAAGCTTATCCACCATGATCAAGTAGGCTTCATCCTGGAGATGCAAGGCTGGTTCAACATACACAAGTCTGTAAACATAATTCACCACATAAACGGAACCAAAGACAAAAACCACATGATTATCTCAATTGATGCAGAGAAGGCCTTTGACGAAATTCAACAGCCTTTATGATAAAAAACCTCAATAAACTAGGTATTGATGGAACGTGTCTCAAAATAATGAAAGCTATTTATGACAAACCGACAACAAATATCATACTGAATGGTCAAAACCTGGAAGCATTGCCTTTGAACTCTGGCACTCGACAAGGATGCCCTCTCTCACCACTCCTATTCAATATAGTATTGGATGTTCTAGCCAGAGCAATCAGGCAAGAAAAAGAAAAAAAGGGTATTCAAATAGGAAAGGAGGAAGTCAAATTGCCTCTATTTTCAGGTAACATGATTGTATATCTGGAAGACCCCATCATCTCAGCCCAAAATCTCCTGAAACAGATAAGCAACTTCAGCAAAGTATCAGGATATAAAATCAATGTGCAAAAATCACAAGCATTCCTATACACCAATAACAGACTTAAAGACAGCCAAATCAAGAATGAACTGCCATTCACAATTGCTACAAAGAGAATAAAATACCTAGGAATACAACTAACAAGGAACGTAAAGGACCTCTTCAAGAAGGACTATGAACCACTGCTCAACGAAATAAGAGAGGAGACAAACAGATGGAGAAGTATTCCATATTCATGGTTAGGAAGAATCAATATCATGAAAATGGCCATACTGCCCAACGTAATTTACAGATTCAATGCTATCGCCATCAAGCTACAAATGACCTTCTTCACAGAACTGGAAAAAAACACCTTAAACTTTATATGGAACCAAAAGAGAGCCTGCATAGCCAAGTCAATTCTAAGCAAAAATAACAAAGCAAGAGGCATCACACTACTGGACTT